TGTGATCTTGGCTCACTGCAAGCCTCCACCTCCCGGGTTCAAGTGATTCTCCTGCCTTAGCCCCCTTAGTAGCTAGGATACAGGCGTGCGCCTGGCTTTTTTTTTTTTTTTGTATTTTTAGTAGAATTCGCCATGTTGGCTAGGCTGGCCTCAAACTCCTGACCTCAGGTGATCCACCTCCATAGGTGTGAGCCACCATGCCTGGCCTCTTTTTTCTTTTAAGACAAGGTCTTACTCTACCACCCAGGTTGGACTGCAGTGATACGATCACAGCTCACTGCAGCCTTGACCTCCTCAACTCAAGTGATCCTCTCACCTCAGCCTCTGTAGTAGCTGGGACTACAGGCGTGTGCCACCATGCCTGGCTAATTTTTTATTTTTATTTTGGTAGAGATGGGGGTCTCACTCTATTTCTCAGGGTGGTCTTGAACTCCTGGGCTCAAGAGATCCTCCCACCTGCTGAGTAGTAGGACTCCAGGTGTAAGCCACCACACCTGTCTGAGATTTGATTTTTTTTTTTTTTGGTAATTCTTTATCTTATGGCTTCTCCAACACAACATAAGCACCATAAGAACAGTAATTTTTGTTTTGTTCACAGCTGTATCCTCAGCACCTAGAACCGTGCCCAGCACACAAGCCACTCAGATAGGAACAACTTGTCTTAGAAACGTCAGTCATCTGAATAATCTTTCTTCTGGGACTAATTTGAAGGCAGTGGTTTTACAAAGGTACAGGAAAATGTTCTTCATAGACCATTTTTCTCATCCACCTTTAATAAAAGCCAAATCTATGTCCAGAAAGGCATTTCTGGGTGGACCTAAGCACATGTAACCTAAGTCACTTCCAGTAATTAAACGTGATTTAGGGAATGGAGAATAGCCAAATTCAATAAAAGGTGAGTGGTGAAGTCTAAGTTGTGGGTACGTGAGTGTTCACTGGAAAATTATGTCGACTTTGCTGTATGTTTAAAAATGTTCATAATACAACGTTGAGAGAAAATGATGAAGTTTTGATCTAAGGAAAGAGACTTAAAAACAAAAAAAATGGTCGGGCGCGGTGGCTCACACCTGTAATCCACGCACTAGGGAAGCTGAGACGGTGAATCACGAGGTCAGGAGATCGGAACCATCCTGGCTAACACGGAAACCCCGTCTCTACTAAAAAATACAAAAAAATAGCCTGGACATGGTGGCAGGCGCCTGTAGTCCCAGCTACTCAGGAGGCTTGAGGCAGGAGAATGGCGTGAACCCAGAAGGCAGAACTTGCCATGAGCCGAGATACACACCTGCACTCCAGCCTGGGCGACAGACGAGACTCCATCTCAAAAAAATAAATAAATAAATATAAATAATAAATAAAAACCAAAAAAAATTAGTATCTGTCCTCCAGGAGCTGCTTCTCATCCAACTCCAGTGTGGGCTGACTGAGGGAGTCCACGGGCTTTCCACGTCGCAGACGTGGGTAGCAGAACCGGCACTGCCTCAAACCTGCTAAGAAACATGGCCAACGCCCTGATACACACGGAGGGCGTGCGCTGCGGGAGACAGTGGGGTCTCAGTGAGGAAAGGCCCTCGGGGCAAAGGCAAGGGAGGTTAAAGGACTCAGACCCCACACAGGACAGCGCAAGAGTGGCTGAGATGGCCGGGAGCCAGATGGCTTCTGCTCGTAACACGACTGCTTCTTGTCCTAAGGGCTCCCAGTTCTAACCCACCGGCTTTTGCGTTTTACAGCAAACACTGCAGTGGTCACCAGCTCTACATGCATTTCCTCAGCTGCGTCAATTCAGGTTGGGAGATCCAGGTCCTGCGCTTCTGCTGAGGCCTCCAGTCTCATCCCTGAAGGCGTGACTCTCCCCTAGCCTCAGGTACCATCTGACCCTTGCAAAGATTTCGCTTCCATCTTAAAGGAAGCATCACCAAGAAACAGGTAAATAAAATCATATTAGCTTCAGATTCTGTAAAAACAGAGCAGCAAAAAGCACACTGAGAACAAAAGGTGCTAAAACACCTCTAGGAAAATCCTAAGTACAGGGATGAAACCACAGACCTGGGAGTGAAATTAGATCCTCTGCAATCAATGCTTTTACATTTTTGTTCTGCCTTGTTTTGCTTTCTTTTGCAAACTTACACCAATTCTGGTTGAAACGTTTACTAATTATTCACTTAATTTCCACTTAAAAACCTACCAGCTTCCTTTTCAATGTTAAATTTCAAATTTTTTTTTGTTTTTTTTTTTTGAGAGACAGAGTCGCACTCCATCACCCAGGCTGGAGTGCAGTGGTGCAATCTCAGCTCACTGCAACCTATGTCTCCTGGGTTCCAGCGATTCTCCTTCCTGAGTTCCAGCAATTCTTCTGCCTCAGCCTCCAGAGTAGCTGAGATTACAGGCACATGCCACCATGCCCTGCTAATTTTTTTATTTTTAGTAGAGACGGAGTTTCACCATGTTGGTCAGGCTGGTCTCGAACTCCTGACCTCAGGTGATCCGCACCTTTGCCTCCCAAAGTGCTGGGATTACAGGCATGAGCCACCGCACCCAGCCAGATTTCAAAATTTTATGATAGATTTCCAAATATCTGTTAAAAGTACATTCACAATGTAATCAAAATATGTGACATCACATTTCTTAGGAGATCAGTAATCTGTCTGTACTAACCACATAATCAAGACCTGAGTCGCATTTCTCCTAAATTACTACTACCAGGCCACAAATCTCAACTTTGTCTGGCGACACGACCCGGTAAACCTCCTCTGAGAGCGCTGACCTCGTGGCGGCTGTGAAGGCAACGAAGCATCGGAAGGGGTACCTTGGATTCCCTTTTCTTGTGCTCGTCTTTTGCTGATCTCTCTTTTCTATCCACACTGGTTCGGTGCCTCTCATCATCAAAATGAAGGACTTCTTTGTGTCGCTTTTCTTTATGTCTTTCTTCCCCTTCTTTTTCAGAGAATGAATTACTTTTCTCTTTGGAATATTTTTCTCTTTTTTCCCTTGTGCTGCTTTTTTCTCGGTGTTTCTTGTCTCGATCTGGGTCTCTAGGCTTCCTGTGTCTCCTGTCACCTTCTTCTTTATAAAGCCAGTACTTGAGAGGGTTGTCCTTGCTGTCTCCGTACTGCAGCTGTAAAACACAACAAGCTGAGAAACACAGGAGCACGTCAAACAGGAGCGCAGCCGGCCTCCCTCTCCATGGGTTCCGCAACAACAGATCCAACCAACCACGGATCAAACCAACAAGCTGAGAAACACAGGAGCACGTCAAACAGGAGCGCATCCGGCCTCCCTCTCTGTGGGTTCCACAACAACAGATCCAACCAACCACAGATCAAACACATTCGAAGAAAATCATGTCTGTACTAAACATATACAGACTTTTTCCTTGTCATTACACCCTAAACAATAACAACTATTTACATCTCCTTTATATTGCACTAGGGATTTTAAGTAATCTAGAGATGATTTAAAGCATCCAGAAGGATGTGTGTAGGTTAAATGCAGACACTACACCATTTTATACGAGGGACTTGAGTATTCCTGGATTTTGGTATCTGAGGGGGTCCTGGAGGCCTTCCCCCATGGATACCAAAGGACAACTGTGCTGTCTTTATAAATGTTATAACAAAAGGAGGAAAACTTATAGAACTACCACTGCCCCCTTCACTCCTCAATTCCACTGTCAGATACATTCCTGAAAACTTAATCTGTTACCCTTCTGTAAGGAAAAACCCTATTCGTGTCACGGTCCACGGTCAGACACTGCTGCCACCCCAACGTCACACAGTAAACTCTCTGCACCCCAGCCACCTCGCTCCCACAGAGAAAGCAATGCCTCTCCCCATGGCGCCCGGCACTCACCGTCAGCCCTCCCGGCCTCTCCCCATGGCGCCCTCCCGGCCTCTCCCCATGGTGCCCGGCACTCACAGTCGGCCCTCCCGGCCTCCACAGCCTCATCCCTCACGCTTGTGGCCCTCAGCCTAAGCTTCGCCAGCCCTGGGGTCCCTCCTGCGCAAGCTCTGACTTCTCTGAGAGATGCCCTCTCCGGTGAGTACGACAGCACAAGGCTGCCACATCTCTCACATGGGCACATCACATCACTCTTTCTCTCCTAATGAGTCCCACGCAGACAGAGTCTTGAAAATGGGACCAGCGTTCAGTCATCTCTGCGATGAAAACACTGCAGATGCTCAGGGCACCAGCGGTCATCTCCATCCCAAGCTGCAGAGCAGGTCACCACGACGGAATACTGCTGGCTTGGACTCTTAGTTCTGGGAGCCCTGACATCGCGTTCAACAGACCCCAGATTGTGCCCGTCCCTGTCCCTTCCCATGGAGCTTCCTCTGCTCATCCCCCACCAGGGACCACTGGACTCCAGGTCTGTGGCACCCTCCGCATCTCTCAGTTCCCTGGGGGGTCTCCTGTGGACCCAACAGTCTCCTCACTCAGCTCCTTCCTCAATTCTCCCCAACTCCCATGCACCCGACTCATCTTTGCCAGGGCGACCTTCCTACGGAAAACTTGCTAATGCCCTCCCTGACCAAACATCTCAAAGTTAGAGAACCATTCACACCATTCATCAAAATAAACTCTGTGTAATTAAAGATTTAAGCCGTCTTTTTTTTATTTTTTGAGATGGAGTTTCACTCTTGTTGCCCAGGCTGGAGTGCAATGGCGCAATCTCAGCTCGCCACTACCTCTGCCTCCCGGGTTCAAGCGATTCTCCTGTCTCAGCCTCCCAAGTAACTGGGACTACAGGCATGCGCCACCACACCCTGCTAATTGTTTGTATTTTTAGTAGAGACGGGGTTTTACTGTGTTAGCCAGGATGGTCTCAATCTCCTCACCTCGTGATCCACCTGCCTCAGCCTCCCAAAGTGCTGGGATTACAGGCTTGAGCCACCATGCCTGGCCAAATTTAAATCCTTTTTTTAAAAAAAAAGTTAAAGACCCAGAAAAAAACACAGGTGACAACTCATGTAACTTTGCTGTGGAGAGAGCGTTCCATCAACAACAGACCTGCCAACAGCACAGACCTGGTAACAGCACAGACCTGGCTACTTCATGATTTTAAACTTACTTACAAAAATAAAAATCCCCCAGGTCCAATTCAACACCAGCCAAAAACAGCAACATAAATGACTGGCAGAGAGTTAACCTTTAAAGTACTCTTACAAACCAGTCAGATGCACCAGTGAAAAATCAGCCAACAGCAGGTGCAGTGGCGCACGCCTGTGATCCCAGCACTCTGGGAGGCCGAGGTGGGAGGATCACTTGAGACCAGGAGTTCCAGGAGTTCAAGACCAGCCTGGACAACACAGTGAGACCCAGTCTCTACAAAAAATTTAAAAATGGGCTAGGTTTGGTGGTACACACCTGTAGTCCCAGCTACTCGGGAGGCTAAGGTGGGAAGACTGCTTGAACCCAGGAATTCCTGGCTGCAGTGAGCTATGATCACACCACTGCACTCCAACCTGGGTGACAGAGCAAGACCCTGTCTCTAAAAAATAAAAATAAAATAAAAAAGAGAAAAAGAATAAGCAAAAGTACACAAGTGGTAAATAACAAAAGACAGTGAACCTGCTTTTCAAAATGCCCAGAAATGCCATTTTCTTCTGAATCAAAAGAGCAAAACTTTTAAATGAAGATAATGCCCAGCTCCTGCTTAGGACAGGAGGAATTATGCTCTGATGCTATAAATAATTACAACTTTTATGTAAAGCAAATGGGGTAAGTTTACATTTACTTCTAGCAAGTTCCTTTCCAGAAATTAATCATAAGGAAATAATTATGAACAAACCAAAAAGCATACCATCTGGATGTCTTCATAATTTAAAGAGAAAACACAAACACACAGAAACAACCTAAGTGTCCAAAACCTCAGGTGCCTTGAGAGCACCAACACATCCACACCGCGAAATACCAAGCCACGCACGCACTGAAACACAGAGAGAGACAGGATCACTCAGGAAAAGGCTCAAAATGTGTTCCGTTTAAACAATTTATAAAACAGTAAAAGTCTAACTAAAGAAAACAGTGTTATACATACACAAATATACAGACCTGGAAAATACATACCTAAATGCTATCAATACTTACCTGTGGGGTAGGATTAGACAGTTTTTATTTTCTTATTACTTATTTGTATCTTCTATCAATCTCCTTCTTCATTTTAAATTTGATACTAGAACTCTTCATTCTTGAATTGGAGACATGTGTTTTAGTTGAAGAATATTTTATAAATACATATTAAAAAGGCATATAAATGTTTGCAATACCAAGTCCGTAAGCAAGAATGTTAGAAAAGAAACTTTTTGATGTGCTAAACATTTGGAGGTATTTAAAAATATGTTTACTTCTTGTAAGTAAGGTAAAGTAAGAAGTGGAGAAGAGGATGAGATCTGAAAGAGAAGATGAAGACAGAGAAGAGAAGATACCGGTAGAAGAAAGGTATACAGAAGGCCTGGAAAGGTTTCAATGTTGCTCCAAGTTAAAGGATATTTTAATGATTGTATTGTTAGAAACGTTTTTTTAGAAAATGTCCTAAGCCGGATTTCAGCCTGGAAAAGGGCCTTCAGGCACTGGTGTGTAGTCAGTTTCTTTCTCCCCATGGTCGAATGTGTTTTTTCTGATTCCAAAGGTAATTTGTGATTATTTTAGAAATTTAGAAGATAAGGCCGGGTGCAGTGGCTCACGCCTGTAATCCAGCACTTTGGGAGGCCGAGGCAGGCAGATCACAAGGTCAAGGATTGAGATCATTTCGGCTAACACAGTGAAACCCATCTCTACTAAAAATACAAAAAAACTGCCAGGCGAGGTGGCGGGCACTGTAGTCCCAGCTACTTGGAGGCTGAGGCAGGAGAATGGCGTGAACCCGGGAGGCGGAGCTTGTAATGAGCTGAGATTGCGCCACTGCACTCCAGCCTGGCGCGAGCAGAGAGACTCCATCTCAAAAAAAAAAAAAAATTAGAAGATAACA